ATTGACAAATCCAAACATGTCTCTAAATCCTCCCATCTAAATATCCCTCTTTCCAATTGCCATGCCGCCAATCTTTTCATTCCCTTCAATGTCTAAACACGACCCAACAGAAACCCCCCAAAAATTCAATCCTTGATTAACTCTGTCTCCTCCTCCTTTTTCAGTTCTCATATATTTCTTGCGATTTTTTGTTTCTCTTCGTGTCTTCCCTTGTGATTCTATTATACAATAATTGATAACTTGTTTTTGGTTTGATTTTGTTGTTTTTTTTTTTGGTCTATTTTGTATCTATTTTTCTTTTCTGGTTCCTGATCTCCAATTTATTTTTGTATCACCATTCGATAATTCCGACTCGAGTCCAAACAGTTACCGGGTTTCGGAGGTCGATTTTTGTGAAGGTAAAAATACTGCTTAGTCTCGCTTGTTTTGGTTAGGGTTTTGCGGGTTTTTGTTATTTTAATGGACATGTTTACTTTTTTATTATTTACTTTTTTAAATAACTGATTTGATTAAATGGATACGTTTAGTTGCTAATTTTTTGTTGGTTGGGTGCATTAGGATGCTGTTGAGATGATGATGAATCAAGGAGGAAATACACAGACGGTAGCTACGGTGGACCCGAAATCCATCGAGGTAATCTAGTTTACTTTATCAGCTTTTTCATTACTGTTTTTGATTGTCTAGCCGAAGTTACGCCAATGCTTTTTTGTTACAATAAATTTTCCTTTGGTGGAGGATTTGTTACTTTGTTTGTGGAGATGATTGTAGTTGGAGCATATTCTGCTATAATTTTCGACTTAGGTGAATAGCATTAACTTCCACGAAAATTCCTCTGTTTAGTTTATGGCTCGCAGAGGATTGAACTCTATTCATATTTTTTCTTGCATAAAAAACACTTTTCTTTCTCAGATCTAATTGCATTTCTCATTTTTTTGGCAGTTTTTGGATGACAAGTTTAGCGATGTAATTGATCTTTATTTCCCTTTTCTTTTCCCCAGAATCGATATGTTGTCGACGCAAACCAAGTCCAGACATCTTCATATCTTCCCTTGGCAACTGGGTCTGATGTTGCTTCATGGACCATGAATAGGGTAGATAGTCGCCCGATAGAAAATGGAAATGTTTCAAACTCAAGTTATCACCATGAACACTATACTGAACCGACCACGAGAGCTCCTCAAGATGGAGTTAATGCAACATCCTTTGCTAGCACGCCATCTTTAGGAACAGCAAATGTGGCACAAGATTACAGTGGCTATGCATCATATCCAAGTTCTACTGATCCGTATGGCTACGGAAGCACAGGATACCCAGGTTACTATAATGGCTATCAGCAGCAGCAACCTAACCATTCATATCCTCAGCCCGTAGGAGCATATCAAAATACAGGTGCTCCTTATCAGCCTCTTTCCTCATTTCAGAATGCAGGGTCTTATGCTGGGCCTGCAAGTTATTCAAGCACTTACTACAATCCTGGTGATTATCAGACTGCTGGAGGTTACCCGAGTAGCGGTTACAGTAATCAAACTAGTTCGTGGAATGAAGGAAATTATGCAAATTATACCGGACATCCATATTCAAATTACCCAACAGACACAACTGCTGCTTACAGTTCTAGTACTGTGACAGCTCCATCACTGCATTATCAACAAAGCTACAAGCAATGGGCGGATTATTATAGTCAAACAGAAGTTAGTTGTGCCCCCGGGACAGAAAACTTTTCTGTTGCCAGTACTTCTAATCAGGTTTGTCCTGTAGCTGGTGCTACTGGTGGCATTTCATCTTCAAACAGTCAAAATGTCCCATCTTTCATTCATTCATGGAGGCCGGATTCAACTTCATCCCAAATGCCTTCGTCGCAGGTTTGGATTTTCTTTTCATGCATTTTGCACGGGAGGAAGCGAAGTGTTTGCTTGGGTCTATGCAATGTTTGACTTGACTGTCCCCTATTTATTTGCGGAAGTCTGATTCTTTGTTTTACCTGCTTATCCTTTTATTATTTACTCCAATTCAATTCTTTTTATTCCTTGTTTCAACTATAATCAGAAAACTAGCTTTTCTGAGTGGCTAAATCAAGAGAAGAGGCTACTGGGATCAAACCAGTAGGCCAATACTTTCTAATATCTGTACTTTTTTCCAAGTAAAAATCCTTGGTATTCAAGTAGATGAAACTTGAAAAGATTTCAGACTCTGTGAAAGGTTTACTGACTGGGTTCTAGGAAATTTAAGGACCTGCACATGTCCTTAACTTTGATTATCTGTACACATCTGAATCTGCTAACATATTCTAGTATGCAGACAGCTTTTCAGTGGTCATGCTTGAAGGTCATATCCCATATCATATGTTAACAAAATTGGCATCACAATAGACTAAAAAGCTGTTCTCATTTAATCAAAAAGTAAGATATATCAAAGGTCCATTTCTTTTTGTGCTGGGTGAACCTGATTTGTTGGAAAGGGTGACGATGTGCATATGCTCACAGATGCAAGGAAATTAATATGTCAATGGCAATTGCTGTAATATGTATTTTCTGGGAACGAATAAATGTTTGTTTATAAGTATACTTCCACATTACTTGGTCTCTAGTAGTTGTCTAGTTCTTGCATTTGGTGCTTGATCCTGTTATTTAACTGTGAGTTATAGATATAATTCTAAATTACTTGGTCTGTAGTAGTTTTTCTAATTACTTTATCTATTTTTTTTTTTAATGTTTGAACCTGTTGTTAACTATGTTTTTATTTATTTAAAAATTACCAAATTTTCTTCCCTTCTTGCCAGCCGGGTGCAACTGTTAGCAGTGCTCATGATAACTACTGGAAACATAGTGCTCCAAGTTATCAAAATCACCATCCTAGTCCTATACAACCACATTACCAAAAGCCTTTGGATCAGAAAACTTCTTATGATAACTTTCAGGAACAGCAGCAAGCTGCATTGCCTCAAGGACCAAATTCTCATAGTTCTGTAGTACATCAGGTATCCCAGAATTATCAACAGCCTGTTCAAACAGTTTCATCATTAGATACACGAAGAGCAAGCAAACTGCAGATTCCAACAAATCCTAGAATTGCTTCGCATTTGCCTGTGGGTTTGCCAAAATCCGAAAAGGATAGCACTCCACCTGTTGCAACAGCGAAACCTGCATATATCAGTGTTTCGTTGCCAAAACCTACTGACCATACAGCAGATTCCATCCTTAAGGTAAGCTCCAGTGTGTGTTGTTCACTTGCTTCTACAAAATTATGCTTTCTGATTATTTATAGGGCTGGTTCTTGAGTATTGGCAACTAAGTTGTGAAACACCCACCATATTAACATCCAACCTTCGTCAAATTGTTGAGTTGATTAAATTGTTTTGTTTGCATAAGAATGTGCAGCTTGACCACCATATACTGATATGTCATTTGTCATGTGTGTTTTACAAAATGTGCATGTCATGAGTAAAGGATGACATGTAGTATGTCTAGGAAATTTTAACTTAGAACTGGTACTTTTGGGGCTGAGAATTGTTACATCTTGTATAATGGTGAATTAGGCAATTTAGTCCATGCATTGTGTCCACATATCGAAGTTGTGTCCTGCTCGCGTTGCTTGTTAGAAGTTAGTAAAATCTCTTACTATAGGAGCTTTGCATTCATATAATTTGTTTTTGATTTTAATATTGTTTTCTCATATGTAACTTACACAGTTCCATTCATATTTTTGCCGTAAAGCTTGTTTGGTGATTTATTCATATAGTTTTCGATGTTTTTCCTGCAGCCCGGTATGTTCCCTAAATCACTGAGAGGGTATGTTGAGAGAGCCTTGGCTCGATGTAAAGATGACAGACAAAAAGCAGGATGTCAGGCTGCCTTGAAGGAGGTAAGTTACATTGTTTTGATGTTAATTCATGTCTAAAGTCATGCGATTTGTCTGCTTCAGTGTCAAGTAGTTTTCTTAGGATGGTCAATACTTATATGCTTTATGAAACTGAGATGGAATACCAGTGAGAAGGCTATCGCCAAAGGAGCTTTTGAAACTTTATTCAGTCAAATATTTTTCTTCCAACAAATTATAACATCTGTTTGATGCTTGTTTTTTTATTGAAATTTTCTGACAGCAATTTTGATGCATATAATGACAACTGAATGATTTCTGCTTCTCTTGGAAGTTATCTGCTTTGTTTCCAAATGGCATCATATCAAGATTCTATCCATACTTGATGATAATAAGCTTTCTTCCTGTTTTGTGACAGATAATTACCAAGGCAACTGCAGACAATACATTACACACCCGAGACTGGGATATTGAGCCTCTCTTTCCATTACTTAATGTTGAGTCAGTCCATGATGAGTATGCAACTTCCTCTATTTCTTTTTCCAGTTTTCTTTTCACCCTCCTTGACCTTTTCTAATTGTTGTAAGATAAATTATTTATTTCAACTCTATGGATCGTAGATATGTTTTTTTTGAAATACATGGATGTTAGATATGTTATTCATTACAAGTTTTATCTTTTTTTTTTCCTTTCCTGCAGTATGCAGAGTTCAACCCCTGTTTCTGCATTATCGAAGTTCAAGAAAAGTCCTAGTAGACGATCCAAGAGTAGGTGGGAACCTCTACCAGAGGAAAAATCTATTGATAAATTGCCTCCAGTTGGTAGCAATACAGCAAAGTTTAGCGGCTGGCTTCATCTCAATGAAAAGGACAGAAAGGTCTTCCTCATTTATTTCTGTTGTCTTTTGCGCATTTATTATATTTCCTCGCTACTGTATAAATGGAATTGAGGACTCCCTATCTCTTTTCTCTTTGTCAGAACTATATGTTAAAGAAGGAATGCATTTAATTTGTTCTCTCTTTTTCATTTAATTTTTTTCTTCTTAAACTTTTTCACTCCTCATATTTATACATATGCCTAAATTAAAATTTGTGCAGCCTCTAGCAAATTCAGAGGGAAAGATGAACAGTTTGAGTACTTTGCAATCTCCTTTATCAGAGCAGAAACCTGCAAATAAGAATGTTCAGCGGCCAGTTAAGAGACAGCGTGTGACTAATGGTCTAAATGCTACTGATAATGCTGATGCATCAAGTGATAGTGATAAGGAGCAAAGTTTAACAGCATATTATTCTGGTGCAATGGCACTTGCTAATTCACCAGAGGAAAAAAAGAGACGAGAAAATCGCTCAAAACGTTTTGAAAAAGGTCAGGGGCATCGAGCAGAAAGTAATGTCTTCAAAACAAAGAATGCTAGGGCTGGAAACGTGTATGTGAGAAGGGCAAGTGCCTTGGTGCTTAGCAAAAACTTTGACAATTGTGGCAGTCAGGCTGTTGAGGACATTGATTGGGATGCATTAACTGTTAAGGGAACCTGTCAGGAACTTGAGAAACGTTATCTGCGTCTTACTTCTGCTCCTGATCCTTCCTCCGTAATTATCAGTCTCAATTTTTCATTTTATTTTCTGAAGCAGTCTTAGTCAGGAACATCAGAAGTAGATTAGGGACGGCCAATATTGTTTACAAAATGCAATTAATTTGAGTCCTATTTTTATTTCTTTGCAGGTAAGGCGTGAGGAAGTTCTGGAAAAAGCTCTGCTTATGGTCCAAAATTCTCAGAAGAATTATCTTTACAAATGTGATCAGCTGAAGTCTATTCGCCAAGATCTAACAGTACAACGAATACATAACCAGCTAACAGTTAAGGTATATATGAGAACATTGTATTGGTTTTATGAAATCTATAATTTTCTGGGCTAAAATCTCTATTGTGTTTATGTTCTTGTTCATTTCAGGTTTATGAAACTCATGCTCGATTGGCCCTTGAAGCTGGGGACTTGCCGGAGTATAATCAGGTTAGTGGCATTATTGCTGTGCTTGAAAACCGTTTTTCTTTCCTGAATTATCACTTGTAGTGGAGTGTATCTAGGAAGTCGATGACATTATAACATTTTTTTCATGCTTTGTCTGGGACTAGATTTAATTCTTTAGTTGAAGGAACCTTATCTTTTAGGTAATTAGTTGCCTCATTATCATTTTGAAAGTGATATATTGCCTGTGCCAAGAGTGCATATCTGTATTGGTCAATAGGCTTGTTGCCAGACACACAGAGGAGACAAAAAAAAAACAAGAGAGAAGTGGAAAATACGAAGAGAAACTTGAAAAAATAATGTTGATTGAGTTGATTCAGGCTTATCAATGTATAGCATTCCTGATCAATTTACTTGTCAACCATCATAGCCAGTTTCATACTAACTATTTGGAAATATTTCTGGAGCTAAATTATCTCCAAAATTAATATTTCTGGAATTAAAATGCCTTGGATATTTGAGATCTTTTCTTCATTAGGAGATTGGGATATGATGATATGCAACTTTCATATTTGAAGATTGGTGTTGAAATTCAATATGACGTGTGTCATACAGCAAAATCATTTTCTTTGATGGGAAAAGAGTTATGTTTTTTTAATTCTCTTGATTCTCAGGAATTAAATTTCATTTAGAAATGTCTGTGCTCTGGTTCATGCTTATATATTTTCTCTTTTCACTCAAATCTATGGTTTGTTCTTACTGGAATTTTTGTTCATTGACCTCAGCCTCTCTGTTTTGTGTCCATGAGCTAAAACTTTTTTCAGGATTTCAGCTTGAAATTATGTTTTATATAAATTTGGTCTGCTTTCAGCATCTTGAAAGCTATAACTAAACCATGCTGCAACAGTGTTTGATAATTATTTTGGAATGCAGTCAATGTTGTTCTTAAAGCCACTGATTTTCGAAAAAAGTTATCTAATGATTTTGTGTTTGAATTCAGTGCCAGTCACAGTTGAAAAGCCTTTATGCTGAAGGTATTGAGGGATGCCGCAGGGAGTTCTCTGCTTACAACTTACTTTGTGTCATTTTGCACTCTAATAATAATAGAGATCTCTCTTCATCAATGGCAGGGTAAGTAATTAACTATGGTAGAGCTTGATGCATATCATGGTTGATTAAATTTTTTTTTTTTTGAAATAAACCATGGTTTATTATAATGATTCAGGAATTGGAATAATGTATGCACAAAAATTCTTCTGTTTTGATTCTACAAATACTAGTCTGACGCTCGTTATGGAATTCCTTCTTCCCAGCCTAAGGCTTCTTCACCACCTCCTTTCCTGAAAAGGAGGAAAAAAGAAAGAAGAAAAATAAGTTCCTGGAACAACTTGGTGAAATTACTGACATTGTGTAACTTGTGAATGTTAATATTCTTAACAGAGTTTGGATGGCTGTGAAGAATTGTAATTGATCTCTAACTACATATTTTTATCTGAAAAAAAATATCTCTAACTGCATATTTGAAGTCTGATTAGTTGAGTGATATTTCTCCTCTAGCCTTCTCTTACTGCCTTGAATATGCTCTTTTCTTACTAGGTTATCTAAAGAAGCAAAAAAGAATGAAGTCATTAAACATGCACTTGCAGTTCGTAGTGCTGTCACTTCAGGAAATTATGTGATGTTCTTCAGACTATACAAGACAGCTCCAAACTTGAGTAGTTGCCTTATGGGTGAGAATATCTAGTGAAAGTCATCTCATACATATCTTTCATCTTCATTATAAAGTTTAGATACCAGAAATTAAATGGGTTAGGCTGATGAATTCCTTTCTTCTTATGCAGATCTTTATGTTGAAAAGATGCGTTATAAGGCTTTAAATTGCATGTCTAGGTCTTATCGTCCTACGCTATCGGTTTCATATATTGCACAAGTTCTGGGCTTCACAGAGGGCACACCTTCAAAGGAAGGAAAGGATGAGAAGGACTTGGATGGATTTGAGGAGTGTGTGGAATGGTTAAAGGCACATGGTGCATGCCTTATTGCAGATAACAATGGAGATATGCAGCTTGATGCAAAGGTATGCTTAACCTTCTTCTAGCTATGTTCTAGAAATGATGCTGCCCGATAGTCTCCATCTTTGGATATAATTGTTTTTAGGGTAAATTGAAGTATTCAAGGGTTGGATGTAATTACAATTGATTTCATTGTTCATGTGAATAGGTCTTAAATAATAATTCAATACATGTCAAATAATAAAAAAAATTAACATTATAGGCTAATCTCTTTGAGAAAGTCTGAAGGAGAATTGCCCTCCATGGATGGTATTATGGCCTGGTAAGGGACTCTGTCTCTTGATAAGGGGGGAAAAGTCGTCTATAGCAGGCACCTAATTAGGAGTTTCTAGCTCTCGACTTCATGCTTATAATTGGTTTAATTGTAAATCTTAGTAAAGTTTTTTTATTTGCAGACTTCTTCTTCTAGTCTCTGCATGCCAGAGCCCGAAGATGCTGTAGCCCATGGAGATGCCAATCTTGCGGTTAATGATTTTTTTACAAGAACATCATCATAGCCATTTTGTCTGTTGTACTTTAGCTACTGTATCTGAAACTGAAAGCATTAGAAAGAAGAAAATGGAAACTTGTTCCATTTCCATAGATCTGATGTACAACAATGAAGAGAAACATATTTTCTGGACTGACCGAGAATTTGGAGGAAGATTGAATCTGCTGGCGTGGGTTGTGTATCGCCTTAGGGAGGGTAGCTTGCAGGTGTACAAAAATTAAACCAGGAAACAAACGCTGTTCGTGGGATGGTGTAGAGGAGCCCCAAGCTAAAAGCATTGCTATGTTTAGATTTATAGTTTACTTTTTTTAGAGAATCTTGAACACCATTGATTCTTTTTGGTGAAGACGGAACATAAATGTACTTGATCAGGAAAAGGAAATAAGCAAAATTAACTTTAGATGCTTGATGGGAAAAAATGTGCATGTTCTAATTTATTCAATTACTTTGGTATCTGAAAACTCAAAAAAACTCTTTAGGGAACCCAGTGCTCTGTAGTGGGTATGAGGAATGCTAAAGATATAAATTGCTATGAATAACTTGTACAAATCGAGTCTGATTGAATGGTTGATGTTCTCGTTCTTTTTGAAGTTATGGGTTTGAATTTTGGATTATGCTTTTCTAGTTATGAAATTGGTGGTATTGGTAGGTAGAATTAAATGTGTGTGTGTGTGTATATATATATATATTTGGTAGCCCCCGAAAAGGGGATCATAATTTTTGAACTTCCATCCTTTTATGTAGAGATGGGAGACAATAAGCAACCAACCGAGGATGAGTTGCTTAATGGTAAACTGTAGTTTAATAGCGTTATGTGGATTATTTGTTTTTATTAACATTGTAAGATCATTTCAGTTCAAAATTATTTTAGAAAATTAACAAAGTATTAAAATACTGAAAAAATAAGTAATTTTAAATTACAATAATATCAAAATGTAATTCACAAAAAGGATCAAATTTCAAAGAAGTAGAGAAAACCCATAGAATTAACAGTTAGTGAGCAGCCCTATATTACCAAACACAAAAAATGACTAACAACTTGAACAAAATATAGATTTAAATACACCTTGAACAAATTGTATGAATTTCTCTATTTTCATCTCTTATTCCTTTGCAGCAGACTGAGGCCATACACTCACTTTCTCTTTCTCATATTTCACGTACAAAGCCGAAACCGCCGCTACAAAATACACCTGAATCAACACTATTGCAGGCGTGTGATAATTTATCACACTCTTTCCCGTCGCCAGCTCCACCAGCAGCAATGCCGTTAACCCAAGAATCGCTATCCGCCCGTTTATCCTCTCGCTGTACGGGCTGAACCCGAAATCCACCTTCAACCCGCCCGACACGGCCTCCTTCAGTGACACCGGAGGCAAATACACCGACCCTGATCGGGACGATCCGGTCGATCCACCCTTTTTGGATTTTCGGATCTCCGCTTTCTTCCCTGTTCCGCTGCGGTAACGGAGTCGGACCTGGGAAAGTCGGTCCTCGAAGAAGGCGTCCGACTCGGGCTGAGAGCCTTCTTTGTCCTGTTTCGGTTCTTCGGTGGTCTCCGAGTCGGTTGCCCGAACAGTTGAGGGTTTTGGCACGTGGAGCTTGTTTGAGGGAAACGCTCGTGGTGAGGGAAATGGGTTTGCGAGTTGTAAGGATATTATCGCCATGGTTGTTAGCTTCTTCTTCTTCTTCTTCTAGTCCTCTCCCTTTCTCCGTCTCTGCGTGTTCGTTTGTTTTGGATAAGAAATAATTTTTTAAAAATTATATATATAAATTAATTTAGACCAATCAGATTTTTTCTTTTAAATTCTGGCTCATATTTTTGGTGTCGCTATTTATTTATTTCAATTAAAATTGTTGGTTTGGGGCTGAAATGAGCAAACCTAATGACAAGGGGACGCGGAGGTTGTATTGTCTGTTGGGCTGGGCCCATACGCAATTGTATTGGGCTTTATTTCGTTACTGACAACAGCTACTTTTCGATGTTGATAGTAATTAAAATTATATAAAACAATTAATAATTAATAATTAAAACGAAATTAAACTGTTAAGTCCGATCAAATTAAAGACTAAATAAATACTAAAAGTCGTTACCAAATTTTGGGAGAAGAAAATTGAACGAACTAGTTTTTAAGTCAATCAATTAGATTTCCACGTTTTGCCTGACTTTTTATACAAGTTGGTAATCATGTTTGTTTGTTTGTTTGCAATTTGGATTAAGATGATATTTTTTGTGTGTGTAAATTACAGCTTCATTAATCTCATACACACATATGTATACGTACATGTGTGTGTATAAGAATTCCAAAAGTACGACTTGAAAATCATTTCATGAGTTACGCGTGCATGAAATCTCTGCACTCATTAATTTGACATTCGTATGTAGTTGATTTATTATATATTGTTTGCATGTATTCATCGTGACGACCAAGTTTAATTATTAATAATTAAGAAATTAGTATCTCCCTTTTTCAATTATTCATTTTTAAATTTATAAAACCATATTAATCATATAGTTTAAAAAATAATACTTAAGATAATATTGAAACCTTATGATTAATTGATAATAAATTAATTACAATCGTCTTATTATAAAATCCAAACTCACAATATTAATTTTTTCTTTAAATTGTTAATAAAATTAAATATTTATAATTAGTGCTGTAAATTTAAATAATATTATCTATTAAACCACCGTCAAATTGCATCAATAAATATTTTTAGCAACTACACCGACATTCTTTTTACTCAGTACGTAGTGATGGTAATTAAATAGTTTTAGGTACTGTCAGAATTTCACTGCATACAAATAAATTAGGCTACCAAATTTCAGAATGTATATAATAAATGATTTTCTAAAATTTAAAAGATATTTAAAAGTTATATATATATATATATATGTATATGTATATGTACGTATGTATAAGTTCTAGGTTGTTACACCCAAGTCAAGCTTACTTGTAGGTTACCAGCTTACTCCTAACTCTAATTTTTTTTTGTTTAATTTTTAGTTTTACTAGTTTTGGAAGTCTGTTATTAGAAGTCCATTACATTTCATGCATGTAAATATTATATATATATATATATGTATATATACCATAAAGTCATACATATTTACTTCGTTATTTCCATATCCTTTTTCAAATCATTGAATAATATTAATTTGGAAATAGCTTGTATCTTCCTTCACAAGTTTGGCTTCTAGCCTTAATTGAAACACACAGAAGCCTGCACACACCCATATATATATATATGTATGTGTGTATATATGTACTGGGATGGTCATGGTCGGAGGAGGAAGAAGAAGATGATGCATGCATACATAAATAATTTATAAATGTCACTTTAGTTATCATTACTTACACAATGACACTATATTTTATTAATTAATTCATATGAATTTGCTGGTGAATGGGGAACTATGTTACGATTCGTAGGAATCGAAATGGAAGATTGTAATAATTTTATTAATATATATATATATATATATATGAAACAGTTTTACATAATTATCAACCTTAAATTTACTATTTTACCCAACATTCAAATTTTCAAAATAAAATGAAAAAATAATAATTTCCATAAAAGAAAAAAAAAAAAAAAAATTTATAATCACCCTCCACTTTCCCTGCACCAAACCAAACCCATCACCAATATCTTTTTCACCATTTTTACTCTTTTTCACCTTCTTTTATTTTTACTGCCCAGTAATAAAGCGAAGTAAAACAGAATCCTAAACAGAAAACCCCAGGCTACAGTAACCAGCAAGCAATACCATTTGTTCAAGTCTGTGATCCCCTGCTGCTGCAGTATATCAGCTCCTGTGGTCAAGCACGTCGAGCTCGTTATCTTCATCCCTAACGTCCTGCTCAGCGACTGCAACAACGTCTTTTTCATTGCCGTCGGCACGGCTCCGAGCGGCGTGTTGTCGAAGATCTGAATCCCTCTGATGAAGCACTTTGTTGGGTTCTGAAACTCGTTCTGCAACACTGCTTCATATGGGTATTTTACCAGTGAGAGGTAGTGGAACCAGATCCAGTAGTCGGGAATTCTATCGCGGTTGATGAAGAAGCCGCTGAAGAGGAGGAAGTAAGCTAAGATGGCGACGACAATGGTGTAGCCGAGCATGACGTGAGGGACGACACCCGAGAGGAAGGTGACGAAGGAGCTTCCTGCCCAGAAGGAAGCGACGATGATGAGGAAGTAGAAGAAGAACCCGGTAATGCCGCCGTCGAGGCCGACGGCGAAGAAAGTGGTGGCGGCGAAGGCTAAAGCGAGAAGAAACAGAGTTGGCAATACAACTAATGAGTGAGATAAAACGTAGGAGGATCTCCGATAAGCATTATGAGCCGTTTCTCTCATGAAAATATAGCGTTCTTGGAGGAAGACAGGGAGGGCGTCTGCGCAGGTGTAGAAGGTGGTGGACATGGCGAAAGCGAAGAATCCGAGTCTCTCTTGAACTCCTTTGGGGGAATTATCGAGTTGCCAAAACACGGTGGCGAGAATAAATCCGGTGACCATCACGGCGCCTAATCGGATTCCGAAGAGCTCCGGCATTCGACGGAAGTTTGTTATGGATCGTTTGGAGAGAACGGCGATTTCAGTCCAAAATGGGTTAGCGAAGGTGGGAACCATGGAGGACGGACTGGTATCGTTGGTGGCGCCGGAGACGAGCTTGCCTCTGGAAATGCTTGCGGTTATGGCTTCTTTAAGCGATCGACCTTGCTGGTGAGTATACGAGTTTGAATTGTGTTTAGTCTGCTGCCACGCTCTGTTGAACTCCACCAAGCTCTTGGTCCCTCCTGGGGAGCCCTCCAGATCTCGAATCAAGTCTAATGCGAACTCAGTCCGGTTGTCGTTTTCCGGAATTGGGTGACCGAACTCGGTGAAAAACGGCACTAAGTTCGCCGGAGGACCGCTGAAAACGGTCTGTCCCCGGGAAAGAAACAAAAGCCTATCGAGAAGACCGAGAATGCGGTAACTCGGCTGGTGAACGGACATGATGACGATACTTCCACTCTGTGCGATCCTCTGCAACACTTTGACGACCATGTAAGCGCTGGTTGAGTCGAGACCGGAAGTGGGTTCGTCCAGGAAGAGAATAATCGGGTCGTGGATGATGTCAATTCCGATTGAAACTCGCCGGCGTTCTCCGCCGGAGACTCCCCTGTGACCTTCATCGCCGATTACAGTCTTGGCGGCGTTTCGGAGACCCAACTGATCAATCAATGCCTGAACTCGGAGTCTCTTCTTGGATTTGGAGAGAGATCGAGGGAGGCGGAACTCGGCGGCGAACATGAGAGTCTCCTCCACCGTCAACATCGGGAAGAGGAGATCGTCTTGCATGACGTAAGCAGAGATCACTTTCAGCATCCGAGACTCCAAAACCTCGCCGTTTAACGTCACCATTCCTTTCAAGCTCCCTTTAGCAATCCGATTAGCCAAAGCGTCGATCAACGTCGACTTCCCCGACCCACTAGCGCCCAACACAGCAAGTATCTCGCCGTCCCGGGCTTCCCCCGAGATGTCATTGAGAAGAGTTTTTGTCGCCGTGAAAAGACTCTCCCGAGGATCCACCGTGTCCGCCACCGCGGTCGCCGCCGCAGCCGTTCGCAGCTTTCCGAACGTCGGCTTCCGCCGGACCTTGACCTTGTACGTCAGGTTATTGAACGAGAGCACGAACGGCAACGACACTGTGTCTGGGCTACCCACGTCGCCGACGTCAACGATTTGGTGCTCATGCACAGGTGTCTCGTCGCCGGCGGCTTCCTTCCGAGCATCTCCAACTCGTTTGAGCAGCTGGCCTAATGTGGGCGACGAGAAAGACAGCTCGTCGAGCTCTCTACCCGTAAGAAACAAAGAGGCATTGCTGTCTCTACTCGCCGGAGATACGGTGCTGTTGTCTGCTCCGACACGAGACATTTCAATGGTGTTTTTAAACTTAAAAAACCAGAGAACAACAATCTGACAGAGATTTACGGAAGGAAAAACAGAGTATGTAAATGGGTATGGGTTGCATGCGTTATGCTGGTAATTTAGCGGGAAATGGAGGGAGGAGTTGAAGGAGGAGAAACAGCGGGGTTTCAGGAGGAGGAGGAGGAGGAAGAAGAAGAAGAAGAAGAAGAAGAAGAAGAAGAAGAAGAAGAAGAAGAAGAAGAAGAAGAAGAAGGTGGTGGGGGTTAAGGAATATGGAGAGTAAGGGGAAGTTGTGAATTGTATATATAAAGGAATTTTGAGGATTAACGAAGTAAATAGTGAATGAAGAAAAGTACGTGTGTGTGTGTGGGTTAACAGTCAAGTCAATTTATTTATTTTTTAATTTTATTTTAGTGCGTAATTTAAATTACGGATGAACTGAATCATAACATAAATTCTCGTGTGGTACGAATTTCCATTTTTCTAAAGGTTTATGAATAGTTGGATTTGGTATTTTTAATAAATTATATATATATATATATATACAAATTAATTTTGATTAAAAATGGTAAGTCAAATATTGTCAACTATTACTTTTCTTATATTAAAATTTAGTGTTAGGTTTTTACTTGGAATTTGAACAGGAAAGGTGACCTAAAACCATCTAATGCTAATGTTGTTGTCTATACGTTTCATTTTTCTTAGAAGAGAGAAAGGGAGGGGGACACGTGGCGAAATGGGTTTTTGTTTGATAAAATGTTAGACGTTACTAAATTTGGGGTTTATGCTAGAATTAGGTTGGGTGTTGATCTACTGTGGGTTTTTAGACTTGTCCAAACCACACTATAATGCTAGAAAATTCCTTAATAGATATACATATACATATATTATTTAATTGTAAAAACTTAATTACTCCTTTAAAAATCATCATCAATGATTATAAATATATATAATCTCTGTATTGTTATATATATATATATATATATTTTTTTTTAAAAAGTATAAAATGTATGTACATGTACATACATCAATCATAATTAAGTTTATATTAAAAAAAAAAAAACAGGACATATTAATTTATAAAATTAAATAATTTATAAATGTATAGAATTGATATTAATGCAAACCCATTGTTGGAATGCTTTCATGTAAGCAACTCATTGAATTAATTTGTTTTCACAGTTTTGGATTCAATATTAAATGCTATTTGTTCTTGTTAGGAGTAATTGTTTTTCTTGAATAGGAATCATATGGGTTCCTACCACGTATATCATGAAGTCTCCTTATCTAAATTTAAAGCTACAATCAAGTTAATTCGTAAGGGTAAGGTGCATATATATATATATATATACAATCACACACACATACATAGATACATACGTATATAGTTAACCCCAACAAATTAGATGGGTTAATCATTTTTGTTTTTTTATAACTTATCCCCTAAGGTAGATTGGTATTGTTATTGATTTAAGAGTTAAATTTATAGGTGATAGCATCCGTGGATTAAGTTTATTAATTTCTTCTCCAATTTAACTTTTTCCACTTCTTTGATGTTGGCAAGGAAAAGTATACAAACACCCACTTTCTGTTTCTTAATGATAGACACTGCTAATAGGGTGGGGGGGTGTAAACAGAAAGAAAGACTTTGAAATGCTTTCTTGAAAAGTGAAGAATTTCAATACATAAATATAAACATTGTTCCTTTAGGAGTAAAAGAATGGTTAATATAGATGCATGTATATACACCCATATATGTATATGTAGCATGTGAATAGCTTGACTTGCTGTATTGTGGAAAAGAAGAGAGCTGGCATTTCTGGTTTTGGTATGTGAATGCCCCAAAAAATACCTAAAACTCAACAATAAATGCAGCTTCTCTAAAGCTCTAATCAAGACCTAACTTTGCTAATTTTCTGGTTAAATTCATTGACCCATGAAAGCATTGCTTGTGAAATCTTAATCTTTTTACTCTTAGCAAACTTGTTAAGGGACCCAAATGTTAGCATTATAAATTGAAATAATTTTTATATTTGTAACAAAGAACAAAATTTAACTAAGTTTTATATGTTAAAAGTATTTTTTTTTTTAGAAAAAGAAAGATGCAATCTCATTGAATATTAATTTGTTGGCTGTTATATATATATATATATATATATATATCATTGAGAGAGGATGAAACCACACATATGGACTTCCTTAATTACCTTCTGAAAAGGGAAACAAGAGGGTAAATCAACAAAATTAAGAAAAGCACACATCAATAGATTTAGACCAAAAGATAATAAAGATTGTTAATGAAGACAGGCCACCGCCATCCCAACAAACTCCTAGCTAACTTACAACACCCACAAAAATTATATGCCTATATCACACCCTCGCAAAGTCAAAACTATCCCCAAAAAAAGGCCATGCACACATATGGGCATTCGGCCATGACTTCAAATGCATTCCTTATATATATATATATATGTATATATATGTATAAAGGTTTTGTTGTCCCTTAAAGTTTGAGAGTCAAAATTTACTTTATCAGTATAAACTAAAGGATTAGGTTACATGGTAAAGTTGGAATGTGATTTATATCTATTTTCTAAAAGATGCTTGTTGATGGTCAAGTTATTTCCTAACAAAGGGTTCTCTCTAATTTTTTTTTTTAAAGAAAAGAAATACAAGTTTTAATTTGTAAAGTAAAAAAAAAAAAAAGAAAAAAAAAAGAGAAAACCGAAAAAATATGAAGAATATAAAAAATATTTAATATATATAGTTCAAATATAGAACCAAAAAAATATTTTAGTTTATGGAGGAGCTAAAATTATTCTTTCTATAATATTAAAAAAAATTAAGTAAATTTTTTTTAAAGAAAAAACTAAAATACCATTCAATTACATAAAAATAATAAAATTCTGTGTGAAAAAAAAAAAAATTAAAAATTATAAAATTTTTAAACAAAAAATAACCATTTGAATTATAAAGAGCTCTGTTTATTAAAACATGATCTACTACTAAATTACAATATAGTTTAGAAATTCAGAATACGAAAAGTACATTATATGCATGTTATAAAAAAAATAATTTTATTCTCTTAAAGTTATACTTTATTGTAGAGTTTTTTTTTTTTAAAAAAAAAAAAAAATGAGCGATGATTGGGGAAATTGATATGATACAATAAAAACCATAAGTAAATGGTTGAGTAAAAAAAAAAAAACTACAAACTTGAATTATAACATAAGAAGCTAGATAGAATAAAACTATATAGAGGGTGCAAAAGTAATTTTCTTTTTTTAATCAAAAAGAAAAGAAGGATTGAAGGGGGCGGGGGCACGCATGGATTGTGTTGTTAGTTGTTAGATGTCATTCTTTTAGCGTTTCTTCTATTTTAAACTATTTGCCTCTATGGTGACAACAAATTCAATCCCACAAAAATTCCCCATTTGGGTTTCCAACGGAATTAGCTTCACTTTTTATCTTCCTTCCATCTCATTCTACATCACTTAACTAGGTACCCTATCTGACATGGATCACCATACCCTTTTGACTTTGTCCAAATGAAGCTATGTGAGGATCACTCTCCTACACTTCACTTAATTCTATGTTAAAAAATTATTAACTTTTAGCATGGATATTTTCACCCATTTAAATTCTTTTTCACTACACCTGTAAACCCTAATCCTTTTATCTTGATTCTTTGTTTGGGTAATTTCTAGAATTTATGGCTCCATGTGAATAATTATTTTCTCAGTTGATTTTGATATGGCCACCTATTATACACGTGTACATTTCGAATTCATGAGCCACGTGATTAACATACCTAAATAATTCTTCCTTCGAAGATCTTATCTTTTTTTTTTCTCTTCTTCCAACATTTTAGCTGGCTAAAAACAAAAGCTTGACCATGGCGCCTAAGAGGGTGATGTAATTTACTATCGATAATGTTGACACAAAATGACTTCTTCTGATATTCTGAATTTCTATGATTTGGTATTTTATTATTATAACATATAATAATATTATTTATTAAGTTATTAGCTTATTATTTTTCTTAATTTTAATTTTTTTAATTTTAAAATTACACGTATATACTTGTTTTTTTTTTTTTATAAAAAAGATCAAGGTGGACCGTAGAGACCAACAATTAAGCTGTATATAACTGGAAGAAACATTATATGAATCTAACTCAAGCCTGAATTAATATCAAATTACCTACAAGCTCAGTTTTATTTGTTTATTTATTTTAATAAAATTGTCATCCTTCCTAATTAAACTAAGAATATATTCAAGTTCCACGAAATAACGAACTTTTACAGAACATACCCCAAGATTAGACTGTTGGGTCCATAATGCCAACTTTGAATCACTGTATCTCCAAAACTCTTGACAAGTTTAATCACAAAGTTGAAGCACGTAATTTTGGTGGAAGCTTCCTTCTTGTTTCTCCCTCCCTCGTGAAGGCCTCTCCAAACTCAGTAACTATAAGCAACATTCTTTTTCTGGAGCACTAAAAGTCATTTTGACAACTATGTATTTCAAGATAGGTTTTTCTCCTCTTGTCTATCCATTTAAACCCACCTACGTTAGTCAATACGGTATTTAACTGAACCATAACTATATGAACAAAACCCAGATGAGTATATACCACATAAGCACCCCGCCCAATATAAACAAAATTGGAAGACAACAGCAAATTTCAATCAAACCTCAAAACTTGAGGTGCCGGCTAAGAACAATCTTAACTTTCAAGTAATTCAACGGTCTTCAAGCTAATTGATTTACGACTCTCCTACCTCACCCTGCAGTAATAACAGAATGAGACAATTCCATCAGTTTATATGAGATAAGCATGCCCTTCATAGGTAAATAATGATGGCTGAGTTCCATGTCTGCCAACTGTTCATGTGAGTGATTTTCCAATGCTAACGGCTAAGGTAACGTATGGTAATCTATTATGCACTGGTGGTCAACCATATCTTCCCCCATGCAACAACAGTTGCATTACCAGACAAGACGACAAACTTAAGATTTAACACCTAAATGATCACTACAAACAGCATTAGTCAATCTCTATCTCATCAGAGGATTGATTAATCTAAAGGTACCACATCAAATAATTTGCACAGTAGAAAGCAAGGAAGTTGTCAACAGAAACTAACAAAACTAAAACTAACTTGAAAAAAGAAAAATAGAATAATAAAAATAACAAAACTAAGGCCCAGAGGTTTCAAGCTAACAGAATTCAATAAGAATATACTATAAACATGTAACAGACAAATTAGAAAGGAAGACAATTACAAAAGAAAGGCAAACCTTGTTACTGGTCCAAAAATGCCTTAGGAAGTTGCATTCAGTAACAAGTCTCATCCCGCTGATGCAAGTTTATGCCAAAGCCCATCAGCAGAAGGCTCCAGAAACAAAGGATTAGAAAAAATTCACAGGTGCCAATGCATAATACATCCCAATAACGAAATGCACCACCACGTAGTTTCTTTTTTCTTTTACAGGTTTTATGACTCTTCATAGCTTACCAAAATATTGAAACCACAGAAGCTCAATTTGAAAAAAAGCTAAACCAATAGTAGCAGCAGAACTCTTTCAAGAAAGCATTCAGCTCCAGTTGCTTCTAATCCTCTGAGAAGTTAACAGCGAGATCCCAGTAGTGACCAACACCAGCATCCGCAAAAACTTTCCTAGCAGCAGCTTCGGTCATACATTCGTGGATGTAAAACCTGTTAAAACACTGCTTCGCAACACTACCTTGCCACACTAACAAACATTTATTGACAGGTTTATCCTCATCTCCATCACCACCTTCCTCTTCCTCTTTCACAGATTCTACCCAGTTGATACGCCTAAGCATAAGCTTCCCGTACCTCTTAATAGATTTGCTTCCGCCTTCAACAACAACAACACTAACTTCCTCAGAGATCACTGCACATCCTGTCAATCGGTTTTCTCTTGCATTAACATCGACTTTATAACGTGCCTTTGGATGTGAAAGATCATTTATCTTGTAAACTGACACAATTGTCTCAAGTGTATTTGAATCATCAAAAAGCTTTCTCTCTTTCTTTTCACGGCGCTCGGCAGGAGTGAGCTTGCGTGCAGTATTCCTGTCAATGTGTGCTTGCTCACGTTCAGCAGCAGCTGTACGAATTTCCTTTTCAAGTCTAGTAGGATCTTGTGTTGCTTCAGAGCCAAGAACTTTCATTAAGTTACTCATTTTAACCTTTGGTTTCGGGGGTTCAATCAGGCCTTGTCTGATCATTTCCTGTTTGTCTTTTTCCCTAGCTAGTCGCCGCTGGGTTCGCAGTTTTTTCTGCTCTTTCTTGGTTAGCTTAAGAGGTTGAGGTGGTGGTGGAGCCGGCTCAGCAGGGGGTTCGATTGGACGAGGATGTTCAACATAGATGGTAATCTTCTCCATCTTCAGTTTATCATCAGTTATGCCACCATCAGCTACGCCACCATAAGACCCAGTAACCAAAAGAGGCATGTCCCTAGAATCATGAATAATTAATATTAAATATTATGAAAGCAAACCGTATCAAATAAAATGGGAAAAAATCTTAAAAGAATAATTAAGTAAAATAGAGTACTCAGACAATATTACTCCTCCTATCTCTCGCTTTTGGTTGCAAATTTACTCACAGTCTCAAAATACAATTAGGAGCACTTTTTTTCACATTCAATAGTTAAGAAAAGTAGTTATTTTGTTGATTTGCAAATCCAGAATCATGTACCAGGAAATAGACTAAGAAAGCAGCCGCAGAGCATAATCAGAATTATGATAGAGGGCTAGGGTGCAATTCCAATTCATTATTCATCTACACTGGAACTGTGAAGGGGACTTGGGGTACAACTCCATAACACCCTTATTTGTTCAAGCCCAATTGATGATCACGTGGATCAAACATTTCATACCAGCTGAGTTAATAAATAGTGTAATGGGTTCATTGCAGGGACAAATGATTTCATTAATAATGAATCGCTCCAAATATAAGATAACACCAGATCAATTGTCCACAGTTTAATTTAATGGGTGTGAGCTGAAATCCCCTTCCACTAAATTATGTTAATTTCCTCTTTCCCTCTATCATGTAGCGAACCCCTGAAAATAAAAGCCCAATTAACTTACCACCACTCTATTTCAGGAATAAGATCCTTTGGCTTTTCCTTGGTTATGATCCGCTCTGACACCTCAATCAAATTTGGATTTATATCAGCCTTTGCCTTTGCCAGCTGTGCTTGCTTGGCTTTTAGCTCCTTTGCTCCTGCTTCGCCAAATTGACTCTGTGATAACAAGATAACTATGAGAACAGATAGACATATAGTAAAAGGACTTAGAAGGGAATAAAAGATTAGAAATACCTTCAGTTTAATTATCTCAGCCTCTTTTGACCATTTCCCTTCCTCTACAAACTGGAAAGTCATCCGTTTCGGTCTCAAAATCTTATTTTTGTTGATACCCATCCTTGCATCAAAGTGAGGATTTGACTCTGGATCAATATCAAGCTCAGGTTTTAGAATTTGAAATGCCTCTTTCTTCTGCTTGTTGATGTTGACCTGAAAATTTCTTGCAGATCATATTATAGTCAACCATGAGCAGACCAAACAAGAACAGACTGACCATCAAAATAGAGGAGTTAACTAACCTTCAAGGTGCTAAGATTGCTTGGTTTAGTCAAATTCACTACATTTCCATGTTCATCTATTTCCCTACCAAGGGCATCAACACGAAGAACAGGGGCCTTGGTAGGCTTCTGTGGAACGACAACTTCCGTCGGTACCTGTCCTGGGAACAAGTTGATGAGAGGGGCAAACTCAGGATCCTGGCGAAATCCCATCTTAGCAGCCAGCTCCTGCGCACGTTTAACAGCTTCAACGTTGGGGATAGTACTAAGACCAGCAAGACCAGGGGCATTTACAGGAGGCTTTAAAGAGGCTGCAGCAATAGAAGGTAAGACTGAACTTGATGTAGAGCCAGCAGAAATGGCAGAAGTGGGAGTCATTGATGGGACTGATCCCTGCACTGTTCCAGAACTAGAAGATACTAATTTTGCTCCCTCCTTCAATCCTGCATGTGGGCTAACATCTGATGTTGAACCAGCACCCTTGTTCAGCTACACAAATGAAAGCAATAGAAAATCTGAACTTGAGGGGCAATAATCTCACAAAATAAACAATCCCTGACAAACAAAAGAGAGGATAGGCCAGGGCGAGAGATAAAAAGCCAGTATACTTCACAGTACCAAAAATGTATTTTATAAGTACTCCATTATGCAGAACTTACCAATGGTATCTTCTTCAGCTTCTCTGACAATTCCTTCTGCATCTGCAAAGCTTTCTTAGCTTTTGCTAAAGCATCAAGCGACAGATTCCCACTACTTTTTCCAGCAGTTGAAGATGACCCATCTGTACTAGATTTTCCAGGAACCTCATGAGATCTGGTAATACTAACTCCCCTATTTTCATTTGTGGTAGAAATTGAAGATACCTTGGTAGGAAGAGGGTGACCGGGGACCAAAGAGTTTTCAGGCACAGTCCTTGATGCCATAGTGGCCGAGTTTTGAGCAGCACCCTGTAAATAAACAGGAATTATATTTATGTCAGACAGCAAATTTAGAAGAGTCTGAAATTGAGAAATTATCAGAGTTACTGATTCAGTATAAATATTCTTATCGAAAGAAACTATTGCCAAAAAGGTCAAACTTGTACATGAAAGAATTTTGTAACTAAAGCAACTGTACTTGAAGAACTTGCAGTTCCAGAAATTATTCATGAAACTATACCTTTTCAATCAAGCATAATCAGAAATAACACAGCTTCTAAAAGCTGAAAGTTATGTTTGAAGTGAACATCTTCTAGATGCCTCTTACTACAAAGTGATCAGTGCAGCAACAAAAAAGCCATCATCCAGGTTATAAATTTGAATAATAAATCGTGGTTTCATATGTAAGTAGAAGAACGTTAATCACACAAAAGAATTTCTGATAAAGCACTGGATTGAAGTATACCCTATTAATAATGAAACGTATAACTAAAGCTTGGAATTGAAAGAAAATGTCCACATCCATACCTATATCAAGAAAGAAAGTGAAACATATTCCACAAGAAACAAGGGAAAGCATAAATTTTCGGGGTACATGATAACAGAAACACCAAAATGTTTTAACATCCTTTGGGCTTAAAACACTAACCATGAAAGAAAAATTTATAAGGACAATTGTTTCATCAAAACTTGAACCACAAAACATAATATAATCACCCAAACCAAACAGTCAAATAATATGGCCAAAGAGTAACTAAAATAACAAAATATCCGCATTCAACATGTGAAAAAGATGCAATATCGATTAACCATTTTAAGTACAATAAACCAGGTTATGTAAAATAAGGAAACTTACTTTCGTCCGTTTCCACTAGTATATAACTCCAGATTACTAGTAAACACTAAGTTAGGCTGAACAGCCAAAAAGAAAACAAACACAAAAGAATATAAATAAAGGATAAGCAAACTAGATTCAGGTTTCAAAAACTTTAACAAAACAGAATGCTTGCATTTCGTTAAAAAAAAAAATGTACAAACAAAAATAGGATATAAATAAAACAAACATAACAAAGATTTTATACTTCTACTAAACTAAATGGAACAAAAATAACAAATATTAAAACCGGAGAATATAAGTAGAAACTAGAAAACTCACATTCCTAACTGAACCACCGCTATTAACGTCCCCGTCATGGTAATTCACCTCTTCCTTTACCTTGACTTCCTTCTTCACATCTTCAACAACCCCAGCGTCCACCTCTTCCTTCACCTTATCCTCAAACCTCCTCCTCTCTCTCCTCTCCTCCGAAACCTTAGCCTTCTTTTCCCCATCTCGCCCCTCATTCTCTTCCCTATCTTTTCTCTTGTTCCTCGATACATTTTCGTTTTCTCTCTCCCTCTCCTCGTAAGAGTCCTCGCGCTTCACCTCCCGACTCTTCGCTCTATATCTGCTCCCCTCTCTCTCCTCTCGCTTCAGCTCCCTGTCTCTGCTCCCTTCTCTCTCGTTCCTCGGCTCGTGAGATCTCTCTCGCCTTGATTCCTTATCCCGAACCCTATCTCTGCTCCCCTCTCGCTCATTCCGCGGCTCGTGAGATCTCTCTCTCTTCGATTCCCTGACGTAACCCCTATCCCTGCTCTCTTCTCTATCGTCTCTGTGATCGTACGATTTCTCGGTCTTGGTTTCATAATCGTGAGAGCTTTCCCGATCTTCGCGCTTGGATGATTTGTGCTCCGATCGATGGTGATGGTGATGGTGATGGTGATCCGAGTCATGGTACTTCTCGTCTCGGTCTCGGCTTCGGTGATGCTTGTGTTCTCGGTCTCTGTCCTCTCGGGTGCGTTTGTTGGATTTCTCTTTATCCATAATCTAGGGTTCGGGGAAGGTTCAGTGCTCCTCCTCTATTTCTCCTTCACTATCACTCTCTGGATGCCCTCCTTTAGGAGAAATGGGAAGGACTGATCGGGTATAAAATAAGACCTGTTTGTAGTGTAAATAGAAATTTAAAAGGGGCGTCTTGGGCCGGTATCCCTGGCCCATTATTCATGGGCACAGAAGTTTTTTAAACCAAATTTACAAATTAATAGTTTTGATTTTCTAAAAATATGTATAAATTAGTAATTTTAAATTATCTAAATATACAAACATATCACTCATGGTCTTAGGTTCGGATTTACATTATCCATTTTGGATCATATTTAGGATAGTAAAAAATTTATAACTTCAGTTAAAATCATCTGTCTTATTAAAAATTATTATGATTTTTAACCGAATCTAAATTAAATTCAGTTATGACAAAAGTTTTTGAAATTGTACAGCAGGTTGGAATTTACATAGTAAAAATTTGTCTAAATTTAATTTAATATTATTTTTTAATTTAAAAATAAAATATACGTAATAACTAAAAATTATATAAAAGAAATGAACTTAATCATATTGAACCAAATCTGTTGAAGTATTAAATAAATGTTAAAATTAAAATGAACTTAATCAAATAATACAACCCTATATCATTAATTTTATATTTCATTTAAATTTGAAGTTATCTTAGATTTTAATTTATTGTATTAATAATCATTATAATCCATAATGTTCATAATATCATAATTTCTAAGATTTATTTCTTATTTTTAAAATTTAAAATCTAGAATCAATCTTTTCAGTAAAAAACAGAACACTAAATCAAAGTAAACCAAAAATTTTAGTTAAATCCGAAGTTGAATGAAAAACCAAACCCGATCTTTTTTTTTTTTCTTTTTAATCAAAATTTGGTTTCACCAAAGCATAAAACGAGAGGATGAAAAGTATCAAAAACCAGAAAATAAGAAGGCAAAAACCATAATGTGAAAAGGACTTATACATACATATATGTGGGCATATATATGTATATATTATGTAATTAGGATGAAGTATATGATCAAGCTAATCACTACAAAATGAGTTGCAGGCTGGAATACCCACAAACAAAATGACATGCTTCACACCCTTTGAACTTCACCCGTAATTCTCTCTGTACATTACAGAATCTACCTCATTTCCTCCCTCACCACCATTTGAGCAAACACCTTGCTCAACGAGGCACCTGCGAGGTCGCGGACGCTTGAACTTGTGGTAGATATACTGCTCGAGAATTGACTGACATGGCTAAGTAGCACAGCTTCTTCTTCTTTATGATTTGATCTTTCTGCAGGAGTCCCTTGAAGTTGCAGAGCATACTCCATATTCCACAAGACATCCCCCATTGTAGGCCTATCAATCCCACATTCTGCTAAGCATTTCTCAGCTATCTCCACATACTTGTTTAAAGACTCCGGTTTTACTTCTCCGACAAGGCAGGGATCTATAATTTCTGTTACCCGGCCTGTCTTCTGGCATTTCATTGCCCATTCCACCAAATTCACCTTCTCCCTCGGCAGGGAAGGGTCAATGACAGGCCTACCGCAGAGGATTTCAAACATCACCACTCCAAAGGAGTATACATCTGATTTATCAGTCAGTTGTTGCCTTGTCAAGTACTCTGGATCAAGATATCCGAAGCTTCCTTTAACGGCTGTGCTGACATGAGTTTGATCAATCTCAGGACCCATCTTTGAGAGGCCGAAATCTGCAACCTTGGCCATGAAA